CCACCCACTCCCTTGTATTCATAAATACTATGAATATACCCACAACAATACTGGGATAGAAGGCAGAAGAGAACACACTGAATCAGGCATACGCTTCACTTCTGTGCCCTTAGGATGCCACTGCCATGCAGAGCACAGAACCGAATCAGAGCCCTATTTGGTGCCTTCTTTTAGTTTGGCACAGAGTAACTCTGTCAGCTGAAAAGTGTAACTGTGAAGCTTTGTCTCCATTTATAAGGCAAGAGGAAGCAAAATGAGATACAACTGAAGGCATAAGTCTCAAGTTTTATACAGTAACAGGAATATTGTTGGGAAAAAATAGTTACGACTCCTTCCAAAATGGATAAGCCATCCTGTGATCTTTGCTGATGAAAAGCAGCACATAAATACTTTAAAACAAACGAACAGTGTCCAGATTAATATTTGTTATACCAGTTTAACTGTAGGGAAGCTTTACAGACACTAAGCTATTTCCTATCAGAGCCATAGGTATTTGTTCATTTACACTGCTGACAACCAGTATAGGGTTGTCACATTAATGTGAGCTGCGAACCAGGAACTCACCCCCAGTTGAACTCTCAATTTGTCCATAGCAAGCAACAATTCTCTCAAACTCACGTCACCTGTCTATGAAACGTAAGGATAACGCCATGTTCACTTTCTGTAGTTCAGAATATGTGTTTTCTTCCGAAACTTAAAGTGAGATTTTTGTTGCATCTGTAGTATTTTATTGAATTTTTAAAATAACTTAGTAGAAGTTATTTCTAAGTAAATATGATTATGCTGCTCAGCTGCAATTCTACACAAGGGATAAGCTTCAAGACACTCAGCAGGAATTATCTTTAATAAACATGCACAGGAGAGCACTACGTTCCACTGATTTTAATGAAGCCAATGAAGGAAGTTAAAGCAAAGGCCAATATGCAAGTGAAGCAGCAAAATCCACAGAAATTGTCTGGGGGAGGGCACCTTAAAGGGTTCCTAAACCATCCTTCAATAATTTTTTCCAATGCAGCTTAGAACAAAAATAGAAAATACAATAACGTAATAAAAACAATAAAGCCACAACAACGCATAGAACAGCAGACAAGAATAACAGTATCAATTCCAATAACAATTCTTGGATAAAGGTATTCATGATACGCTTGAGGATTTTCCCTTCTGCTTGTGAAGCCTCTGAAACACACACACACACACACACACACACACACTGCCATTCACTGCGCCCTTTGTCATGAAGTGGTGAGGATGGTTATCTTCCCACTCTCCCTTTGAGATAAGCATATAGACTTGATGGAGGAAGTTTCAAGAGTGACACTCTGTTCCTCTTTTAGCATCATGCACTTCCCAGGGCTCAGATGGCACCTGAGCAGCTGAACAGAAAGCAGAGCAATAGTGAGGGGCCAGAAGGGAAGGGGGGGGGGAGGGATTCATCTGAAAGATTGGGAGGAGGAAATTGGAGTGACCATAGGTGAGAAAGTAGAGTGTCATAGGAGTCAGTAAAATGGAGCTTTCAAAGAAAGACAAAGTCACTTCCAGTTAAACCTACATAAATTACATATTTTTTCAAACTACCACCCCGCAACCCCATCACACCACATATCACCAGCCTCCATTGATGGAACCAAAAATATCATGGTTCTGGTGCTTTCCAGTGTTGCTACACTACAAAAACATGTATCTGTTTTTTGATATAGTATTAACTAACTTTTTTTCATAAATGATCTGGGGTCAGGCATGAGAAGTGAGGAAGCCAGCTATATAAATGACACCAAGTTATTCAGATGGTGAAATCCCAAGTATCAAAAGAATTTATCCAAACTGGGTGAACAGACACTAAAAACCGCTAAAAAGACACTAAAAAGATCAACAATGAAAAAGTGACGCAAAATGGGGCAAAGAAATCCAAACTTCACATGCATCAGGGGTGCCAAGCCTGCCTATGAGCTAGATGAGACCCACAGAATATACCCCATCTGGTATATTAGCCCTCTTCCTAGGCTTCCTTCTCTCCTCTTCAGCTCAGCTGTGGCTGCTGAATAGCTGCTGTGGTTGTGGGAGATTTGGAGTGGGGGGTGGAGGCGAGGTTTGGCAGCTGAGAAGCAGGGAAGGGGTGTGTGGCTGTAGAATCCTGATGCTTATGGGAAAAGATCGCTCTCTTCCTCCATTGGCAGCTGACTGTGTTTCTGTGCTGCATGCTGAAAAAGCGAAGCCTGCTTCTCAGCACCCATCACAGAAATGCAGCAAACAGCCAATGGAGAAAGAGCACAATCTCTTTCCACATCAGCAACTCTCTGTGTCCCTATGCAGAGCACTGAGAAAGGGAATCTTCTTCTCTATATAAAAAGGTAAAGGTAAAGGTACCCCTGCCCGTACGGGCCAGTCTTGACAGACTCTAGGGTTGTGCGCCCATCTCACTCAAGAGGCCGGGGGCCAGCGCTGTCCGGAGACACTTCCGGGTCATGTGGCCAGCATGACAACGCTGCTCTGGCGAGCCAGAGCCACACACAGAAACGCCGTTTACCTTCCCACTAGTAAGCGGTCCCTATTTATCTACTTGCACCCGGAAGTGCTTTCGAACTGCTAGGTTGGCAGGCGCTGGGACCGAACAACGGGAGCACACCGCGCCACGGGGATTCAAACCGCCAACCTTTCGATAGGCAAGCCCTAGGCGCTGAGGCTTTTACCCACAGCGCCACCCGCGTCCCTTCTTCTCTATATAGATTTGTCTAAATCAGGGTGGGTGGGTGTACAGATGTGTGTGAATGGGATATGGGTGGATAGATGTGGCTTTGGTCTTGCCCACTTTGGGCTCTGGCCCTATCCACTACCCTGAAGGTTACTTGAAAAAGCTTGCCCACTGCTGACATTCATGATGGGGTCAGAACCAAAAGTGACTAACTAGGAAATCAATCTTGAGGCAAAGCTCAAAAAAGTCAGTGTGCAGCATAAAATAAAACCATGAATTCAATGCTAGCAGTCACATTCAATCAATTTCTTAAGTCTGGCAGTGTAATAGTGTGGATGAATTCAAGACACAGCCACATCTGGAATATTATGTGCAGTCCTGGATGCTCAACCTCAAAAAGGACACTGTAGAATTAGAAAAAGTCCAGAAAAGGACAGCTAAAATTATGGAAAGTGTTTGCAATTTTTTTGTTTCAGATAACCGTCCATTAAGAGGCATGATAGAGGCTTATAAAATTATGAATGGTGTGGAGACATAACTTTTTCTCCACTTCCTAGAATATTAAAACTCAAGTCACTCAATGAAACTGACAGCTGAGGACAGATAAGAGAAAGCACTACTTTGCACAATACATGGCCTATGGAATTCACTGCCACAGTATACAGTGATGGCCACTGTCCTAGGCAGCTTTAAAAGATTAGACGAATGCATAAGGTATATAGGTCTTTTGGCATGACAGCTAAATGGAATCTCCACATTCAGAAAGCAGTATGCTACTGCTGACTACCATTTGCTAGACAGCAAGAGAAAGTTTGTTGCCTTCAAACTCTGTCGGGTTCTTGGGGCATCTGGTTGACTTGGTGAGAAATGGGTGACATGGGTGCTGGACTCAATGTTTTTTTGATCTGATGCAGCAGAACACTTCTTACAGGAGAGATGAACGGACACCCAAACGGATCCAAATCCATGTTTACTCAGAAGTATTTTAGACTAATGGGCCTGATGTGTACATGCAATTGCAGCCTTAGAAGTGCATGGCTTATATCGAGCCCTTATTTACATTTCTTGGTGGCAGAGACCTGCCTTTTCTTTCTCTCTCATCTTACTTTTTAAAAGCGCACAGGCAAACATGCGTGCCTGGGGTACCTGCCCGCGCACAAACACAGCCTTATGCATCCTCCCTGTGGCTTAAATGGCAATTTGCAATCCGAATCCCAAAGTTAGAAACGGCATCACTTCTGCACAAACTTCTGAGCCCACATGTATTTCTTCTCCTTCCCAGTCCCAACATTTCATGTTCGTCAGCAGGCACTTTGAATACTACTACTACTACTTATTATTCTCTTAATAATACTATTATTAGTAGTAGTAGTAGTTGTTGTTGTTTAGTCAGACACGACTAAACGACTAAACAACTACTACTACTACTACTAATAATAATAATTTGTTATTTATACCCCCCCCTCTGGCTGGGTTTCCCCACAACTGAATTCCCCACAACGGCCGGGACACGTAACTAACAAACAACAACAACAGTAGTAGTAGTAACAACAATCTACGACGGGCTCCCTGAAATTAAAGGGCAGCGCTTCTGAAAACAGGGCCAGCCAACAGGAAACCCGAAGGCAGAACTTGTCCCTTTAAACCAGGAAGCAGCAGTGACAGCCCTGGCCGAACCTGAGAGAGAGAGAGAAACAGGGCGGCGAGGAGAGGGGAAGCGGGGCGCGGGAGGTTCGCCCGCGGAACCCCCCGCTACTAGAAAGCACCCACCGACCCCACAGTGGGGCCACCACACCCGGCCGAGGAAGGGCCCCCCCCCCGCCCCGCTCGCCCTCCCTTCATAAAGCCCAGCGCCCCGCTTCGGCCTCCGGGCCGGTCCCAGGGTGGAGGCCGGCGGGCCGGACAGCCCTGGGGAGGCCTCCTCCTCCCCTCACCTGCTCTGCCGCCGTCTCCGTTCTTCCCACCCGCTTCCCGGCGGGGCGGGTGAGGTAGCCGGTTCATCTCGTCAGCCTCCGGGAACAGGGGCGGCGCTGAGGGGCGGCGGCGGCGGCGGGCCCAGAGGCGGCTTCAGCGGCAACGCCGCCGCCAGCCCGGCGCCATTACCGGCCAGCAACTGACACACAGGGACGCGCGGGGAGGGGGGAGGGGAGAGGCGGCGGCGGCGGCGGCGAAGGCGCGCGGCAGGGCGGGAGCCGACCTCCGAAAGCCTCGCGAGATGTCAGGAAGCGGGGGGGGGGGCGGGAGAGGGAAGTGGCAGAGACCTTCTAAACATGGCGGCGGTTCCGGCCCGCCACGCCACGCCCTTCTCCGGACGTTGAGCGGCTGGCTCCGCCCACTTCGCCGGCTGCGCGAGGCGGTTGGGAAGAGAAGGGAAAGGCTGGTGTTCTATAGCAGGCGCGTTCAAAGCTAAACAACTCTGGTCATTCCTCCCCCCCCCCCAATCAACAGCACCGTGCGATCCTCCCCTTCCACCCACCCTCGGTCCTCCTCCCTCCAATGAAAAAACTGCATTTTTTTAATACTAGGAGTAGATCGCAGTCTCTCGGGAGTTGGACGTGCCTGCTCAATAATAGCACCTGGTCCCAGTGCTGCTAAAAGGTACCTGCCTGAAATAACTAAAAGTATTTGCACTTCTTAAGCAACACCTTGAGATTACTAAAGATCCAGTGACATTTGCCAGACTTGCATACACTGTCAGCATGGTTGTAACTGGTCTTACTCAGGGTCGGAACTTTTTTTAAGAGTTCAAGACCTCATTCAAACATTAGTGTATCAATGTTGGCAAGCTGCCTTCCTGTGATAGTAAAATGTAGGCATCAAGAACCTCACAGTGAGACCACTGACTTGGTTCCTTGAGGGGAAGAAATGACTGTCTTTTCCACGTAACTGACATATTTATCAAGGTGGCAAAGAACTAAACAAGGTAGCACTTGCGGTGCTGTCAGCTGGCCCTTAAAAGCAGTAAACTCTCAAATGACAACCCCTCGCATAAACACGTATCAAGGTGTGCAGTATACAAAGCCAAGCCATTTTTGCAGCCAAGGCAGAAATTGCAGGAGGCACTTCTCCCCTTCCTTGGTAGTAAAAATGCAACAAATTAGAAAATATAAAGAAGAATTTGCTACCCTGCCTGAAATCAAATCCCTAAAGCTGTGGCTTCACTCTGCCTAGTACAGTAATGGCAGAGCCAGCCCATCCTTGATCGGACCATTCTTTGACTACCCCAACTATGCCTCTTCCCCTTGCATGTTCCAACTTCCTCCATTTGGAGGTTAAGGAAACCAGTTTGCTATGAAAGTCAAAGTACACAGGCTACAGTAAGCGTAAACCATACCTTCCCCTCCGATGCCGGACTGGAAATGCTCTTCAAACTGTAGTTAGAATTCTAAATGACTGTTAGCAGTAGGCTGTTATAGTCCCGATTCAAACAACCACAAACTCATTTCCCAAGCAAATAAATGGGGGGGGGGGGGTCCAACAAGACAGAGGCACATTTGATCAATCTGCTATCTACTAATAACATTGATCTACACAAGCATAAATCCATCCCATTGATTTCCACAGTTCACAAAAGCAGCCAAGGGTTTACTTGCAGCCAAAGCACACAAGATTTCCCCTGCAGAGTCTACATCCTATATCTTAGTACAGAATGGATTTTTTAAAAATGAGAAAGAAGTGGTGCACACATGCAAAAAGGGCACTTGTAAGCATATACCCCAATACAAAATCACTGGCAAAGGCTGATTACTCCCATTCCGATTACTGCAAAGGGCTACTTTAAATAAGGTTAATAGGGCACCATTACAGCTTTGAACATTGCATGGCTTGTTTAATTTATTAGTTATGCTGATAAACTACAAGCCAGTTTCTATGAGTAATTTTCACAAATGTACCTTTGGGGGGGAGGGAATCACCATAATTCCTTACTCACAGTGATTGCCACTTCCCTCCTCTAAATAGTTTTTAAAAATCCACTCTAGATTTGCTTTTGCTTTACAAGTGAGTGAAACCAAAATAAACAGATACTCCACTTGCCACAGATTTTGCTTCATTCAGTGTTTCCCTGTTAAAACCTACAGGCCTGCAGCAGGAGAAGACACAAGACAACCCTGGTCCTTTGCGGTAAAGTCATATTCCATTTTTAACTTGACCCTTTTTGAGAAAATAATTAGCATTTTAAGAAACGCAACAAAGCTTTTACCTGCTGGAAACAAGCACAGATGGCAAGTAAGGGAAGAACCAAGAGAACTTGCATTTTAAAGCTCTTTCGGGTGAACTCCTACCAAGTTCACAAAGCAAGTAAATCGTAGCTGGGCATTCTAAATGCTGGCAGTGAAAGAGAGGAGGGCTGTATGTAAAGAAGCCTGCTATCATTTTACATCATTATTGTGACTGCAAAATATTTGCACTTCTAAGCAACACCTTGAGATTACTAAAGACCCAGTGAAATTCGTCAGACTTGCATACATGTAGGCATAGTTGTAACTGGACCAAGTACAGTACTGCAAAGGGAACAGTCTGACAGCCATTTTTGCAGCTAAGGCAGAAATTTCAGGAGGCACTTTCCCCCTTCCTTGGTAGTAAAAATGCAACAAATTAGAAAATATAAAAAGGAATTTGCTACCCTGCCTGAAATCAAATCCCTAAAGCTGCCACTTCACTCTGCCTAGTACAGTAATGGCAGAGCCAGCCCATACTTGATCAGACCATTCATTGACTACCCCAACTATGCCTCTTCCCCTTGCATGTTCTGACTTCCTCCATTTGGAGGTTAAGGAAACCAGTTTGCTATGAAAGTCAAAGTACACAGGCTACAGTAAGCGTAAACCATACCTTCCCCTCCGATGCCGGACTGGAAGTGCACTTCAAACTGTAGTTAGAATTCTAAATGACTGTTAGCAGTAGGCCGTTATAGTCCCGATTCAAACAACAACAAACTCATTTCCCAAGCAAATAAATGGGGGGGGGGGGAGTCGTTTAATCAATCTGCTATCTACTAGTAATATTGATCTACACAAGCATAAATCCCTCCCATTGATTTCCACAGTTCACAAAAGCAGCCAAGGGTTTACTTGCAGCCAAAGCACACAAGATTTCCCCTGCAGAGTCTACATCCTATATCTTAGTACAGAATGGATTTTTTAAAAATGAGAAAGAAGTGGTGCACACATGCAAAAAGGGCACTTGTAAGCATATACCCCAATACAAAATCACTGGCAAAGGCTGATTACTCCCATTCCGATTACTGCAAAGGGCTACTTTAAATAAGGTTAATAGGGCACCATTACAGCTTTGAACATTGCATGGCTTGTTTAATTTATTAGTTATGCTGATAAACTACAAGCCAGTTTCTATGAGTAATTTTCACAAATGTACCTTTGGGGGGAGGGAATCACCATAATTCCTTACTCACAGTGATTTTCACTTCCCCCCTCTAAATAGTTTTTAAAAATCCACTCTAGATTTGCTTTTGCTTTACAAGTGAGTGAAACCAAAATAAACAGATACTCCACTTGCCACAGATTTTGCTTCATTCAGTGTTTCCCCGTTAAAACCTACAGGCCTGCAGCAGGAGAAGACACAAGACAACCCTGGTCCTTTGCGGTAAAGGCATATTCCATTTTTAACGTGACCCTTTTTGAGAAAATAATTAGCATTTTAAGAAACGCAACAAAGCTTTTACCTGCTGGAAGCAAGCACAGATGGCAAGTAAGGGAAGAACCAAGAGAACTTGCATTTTAAAGCTCTTTCGGGTGAACCCCTACCAATTCACAAAGCAAGTAAATCGTAGCTGGGCAATCTAAATGCTGGCAGTGAAAGAGAGGAGGGCTGTATGTAAAGAAGCCTGCTATCATTTTACATCAGTCAGATTATTGTGACTGTAAAACAGGGGCGATGGAAAGTTTTCCACTCCACGGTGCTCTTGGACACCCCTCCTAAAAATAGAAAGTGGCAGCTGGGTGTTGCAACTGAAACCAAAGATGATCCATGAACGGCGTTAAAGGAAGCCTGATGGTATTTTGGGAAGGGCTGCCTCCACCTGTTGAGGCCGGGATGAGAATTGGCCACACTCAGAAAAATCCATATTCTACTATCGTGGTTTGAAATTGGATAGAACTGGAGGAAGCTGCGAAATGAAAACTGGTGCCAAAAATACTGTGTGTACATTCTTCCTTTTACAAGGCAAGCTTTCTATTCCTCTTAGCTGTCTCCAGCGCTATAGTTTTAACACTACTTCTTTGAGCTGTGGTGCTGTAAATCAATCTTAATAAAGCAGAGCATTAATATAACTCCATCCCAGATTTGGAATCACTACTTTTATTGATACTGCCCTTCTGTAACACAGCCAAAAGCTATCAAATTAATGTCTGTTTCTATATGTTGATCATGTGTACAATTAATTCTTAAAAAACACAACAGAGAAACAATCTTTTTTCAAAAGGGTATTGAAAATAAATACTATAGTATTGAAAAGCTGAGCAGCAATATATGGCAGTAAGTTTATAAAATATTTATCTGTCCTATTAGTTGATCTCCAGGAATTAAAAGCTGTTGTATTTCAGAAGCATCTGATCCACACTGAGTTGATTTGCTGATTGTTAGGAACTCAGTTCATGAACAGTGCAAAGTAGTATTGATGCTCCAGGAGCCACTACCAAAAAGTCCTACACAAAATGTTCAGCATACACTTAATAGAGAAGACAACTGTTATAGCCACTCCTCATAAAGATTTTCTGTCCACTCATTCATTTAATAATTGTGCTGGCAGGCTGTATGAAATCTCTTATATAATTATAGTAGCACTAAGAAACAGCTGAGTAGTCAACAAATAGGAATTTACATGTTTTAAAATTATTTAAACATGTATATACAGTGCAACTAGATCCTGGGTTAACAAGTAAATGGAAGGGAGATTTCCCCTTTCTGAAAGCTTTTCTGGAGGACTGGGCCCTTCTGAATAATATGGGATGGGGAGGCGGGGTGAGACACTGTTGGGGGAATGGTACAAAGGTGAACCTCTACCCAATTTTGAGCAAATCCCTGTTCCTGTAGCAGCTTCCCAACACCATTGCGCAGAAGGGCATACCTGCCACACTAAATGGCATTTTGGGAGGTGCAGGTGACCTGAGCTCTACGAGTTATGAGTTCCTGGCCTAGAAAACTTCAAGACACTAATGCCTACACTTTATAAACCACTTTACAGGAAAGTATTTTCTTAAGTCCTTCATGTATACATAAACATTTACATGTGCTCTGGCTGCTGCTTGTGTTCCACACTCAAAAAATGTGTATTCAGTGTTAGACTCCAGGAATCTTCACTTCAAGGTATGACAGCCAGTTTTAATATAAGCCACTAAAGCATTTCTGACCTTGAGTCAGGAAGGAATGTGTAGCTGCATCATGTGCAAAAGCTCCCAAATAAAGAAAAAACATTCTACAGAACATGGCCAGGGGCTTTTCTAGCACTTCCAGAGGCGGCCATAGTTATCGCAGTTAAAATCCACTTACTGTAGACACACTTGGGGACAAAGAATGGCACTCTGGTGAATCTTCAAAAAGCAAGGGCAATTGTGCTGAGAACATATTTTGAAAATGCAGGTTTTGCAAGTTTCTCAAACACAGTAAAATCCAAGTGGCTCAATTACATAAGAATCAGTAAATATCAAAGTCCTGAGGTTTGCACATTACCATTTACATTCAAGTACATACATTCATAGACAATTAAGATGTATAGCCTGACATAAACTGAAGGCTGTCTGGAATGAAGCATTCAAAATATGTGGGCTGTCACACTTTACCAGTTGTCAGATTCAAATTTTACATGGAAAGTTCCATCTTCCTGCGGGGCAGGAATCCAAACCTGGGGGGCAGGGGACTTTAGTCTTCATTTCTGCAATAAATAAGTTCTGCTCAGCGCAAAGACACCATTAAAACCTGTGCTTATCTAAAATAATATTTAATATTCATAAGTTTCAGAAGAGTGAATTATTTTGAGAAAGGAAGGACCTTGAAGCACACAACTCTTTTAAAAATCTTGATTGAACTATGGGTTAATCTATATCAGTGATTCCTTCACTCCTTTTTGGGCAAGTGCAAAAATGTGTGTTTACAAAGGCTGCATCTTGTCCACCTGGGACTCCCATATGCAAAAGGAAATTCATATTGGTCAGTCTGGCAGGGGATCAACAGAGATTGACGAGCCTTGTAGTTCTGGATTAAAAATACTGGCATTGTGAAGACAATCCCAAAGTTAGAATCTGGACAGGGCATTTGTGTTTGTATGTGAAGGCCTGCCACTCCGGACTAGAAATTTGAATTGCATCATTATGTTAATCAAACCCAACAACAGGACGTGGCTAAAGCAAACTCCAAGAGCATGCAATTATGGGAGAGATGGTCCATCCGAGATTTTGGTAAATGGATGACAAGAGTTGTTACTGGATATACGAAGTATTAGTGACACCTTTGAGTTTGCATTTTATTCTAATACACTTCAAGTACAAAGAAGACAGAACCATGTGCTTATTACTATTCATTAACTTGTTGCTCCCATTTGCAGTATTCTCTGAAAGGACTTCAAATTGTTAAGTAGTTCTAGCAATCAATATTCTTTTGAGATGCAAGGTCCTGAACTCTAAGAATTACAGGAGTGTCACATAAACAGAACTATGTTATGCTCTACAAGTTCTTAATATGTGAATTTCCAGCTTATTTGGAAAGGAATAAATCAGATTTAAAATTTTGAAGCACACACCTAAGAGTCAGTTCTGATTACCAAGCTGGAAATACATACCCTATCCAGCCATTAATAGATGTACATGCTGTATTGTTTTCATTCTCTCTTACAAAAATATTATTTCACCTGCAAACAGTTTTCCTGAGGAAGGACATTTTCAGGCCACACAGGTAAGACCAGGTGGGATATGCGGCTCCACAGCCCACTCAGTTTGTCTGTGTCCATGTGCTTATAGGAACCTGGCATGTCTGAGTTGGTAAATTTAGCCCAGAGGAAGTCCCTCACTTTCTCCTCAACTTGCAGTGGGCTAAGGTCCTTTCTTAGAGTTTCCTCATCCAGAAGAACAGTTAAAAGTAGGGCAACATCCTTAAATGCTGCATTCTCATGGTCACAGTACTTGTAAAATATCAGGGTGGAACCAGCAGGCATCGACTCAAATCGATGCACGACTGCCACCTTCCTGCCTCCCTTGAACCCAGAACTCAACTCTTCGTCCACAAGGAGTTTGACATCATCACTGTCTAGAGTGGCTTTGCTGGCCCCGTCAATTTTTATTGTAGAAGCGTGCTGCGAGGATGAGAAAGCATCAGCAAGCTGGTTGCTTAAACATTTCAGGGCACCTTCAGCTTCTTTTGCAGCAGTGAACAATAAAACAGCTGGTTGCAAAAACGGTTGAGAAGAGTTGAGGCGTTTCTCCAAGATGACTTGGATTCCCTTCCACAACTTTTTGTCTTGACTTGGGTAGCTGCTCATGAGATCTCTCACTTGTTTCTGAAACGCTTTCAGGGCTTCAGTTCGCAGGTTATTTTCCAAACTACGGTACGATGAAGACTGAAGCACATACCATCCACCACCAGCAAGGCAAAATACTACTACTACTACTATAAGTGGCAGAATCCATGCAAATGCGTGTCCCCGATTAGACTGTTTAGAACCTAGTGCACACACATACACAAAACAAAGGATGAGGAAAAAATACATACATCTGAGTTTCATTTTAGAAGTTGCTTTTATTATTCTGGCTGATTTCATCACCATTTCAGGCAGATTGGAAGGCACACTATTGACAATTCAAAAGAACTGGACTTCCCCAGAAAAACAGCAAAAAGCAAAGTGTTAACTTTAACAAGTTCAAATTAAAGCTTGCTTTTTGGAAAAATGTTCATAAATGAAATATTGGGACTGAAAATCTCACACATGGCACAAGCGGGCATTCTTAAAGTCAGTATTTGGCAGTATTTATGGCTTCTCCGTTATTGTTCATTGCAAGCTTGTTTCTGCTGGAAAAAATACATCTTTAAGTAAAAATTCTCCAGTCTCAACCAATAGATTTGTCTGCTAAAGTGAGTGAAATAAGTATTCTCCCCAACGATCTTATGGATTGTGACCATCTGCAGGTAAGATTGCTAGATGGAAACAACCTCCTGTTCATAGCCAAGTGGGATCTGCCTCATAGTTGCAGGGGTGGGGGGAGATTTCCTCCTATATATGACTTAGGGAGGGGAAAGGGTAACATATCCTATTTACAGGTGCAGCCCAATAACAATTGACCCCACCTGTAGTGAGACCCCATGTCTGCATTTTTTTCTTTTTTTAAAAAAAAGGTGCAACTGCACAAATTCACATTCAATGTAATGTGTAGTTTATCCCCACCTGCCAGAATCTCTCCAGTGTCTCAGACAGGGATCGTTCCTAGTCCTATCTGGAACTGTTGTGGACTGAACATGGGGCCTTTTGCATGTGTACTTTACCACTGAGCTATAGCCCTTCTCTATTCCATCACAACAGAAATAGATCACCAGAAATAATGCTCAGCTGGTAGAGTTTTTACACCACAAGGAATAAGAAGGTATGTTTTAACATCTCTTAAGGCTATTCCCTTCTCATTCAAAAGGAAAATGTCTATCGTACGTGTTTTCCTGCTCGAACAACTCTGCAGGAAGCAGAGTTGCAGTGACTGCTCTTCCTTTGATGGAAAGAGTGTTCAAGCATGCTGGATTGGTTGTGCAACCAAGTTCCCGATGAGAAATCTAACTGCGCAACCAATCCCTGCAGAAAGCAATTTTGCCAACCTTATGCCCAGCATATGACTAGAAAAGCCCCTCGAGCTGTAGTACCCAAGTGCTAAACAACAGAATTTTGACACATGGGCAGAACATCCCAACATGTCAATCATTTCCCACCCATCAAAGTTGTCCTGTGGAGTGGAGAAAGATCTAGCCCATTGAGGCAAAATGGTTCCCCACCCGATTAAAAGCCTAGATTCTAGACAAGCAAGTCTGCATACATAATTACAGAGGTGCAAGGTTGTCAAACACATTTCAGTAAAAAAAACTAGATTTTATCGGTGGTACGAACAGACACCACAACAACTACACATAGTCTGAAAGAGGAAAATACCTTACTTTTCGGAGCAGCATGTGGTTGTTTCTTTGGCACATGGGCTAGAATACAAACCAAAGACACAAGATTTAAGTGCAAACAAATCCAATTATTTTCAAATAAAATTCAATAAATAAATAAATTCCATAAACTTCATGATCCAAATTGTCTTCCTACAAAAAGAGGAATATTCTCATCATATTCATAAGGCAACAGGAGAACAGCACAACAGGAATTCATATTTGAATCCAAGTAGCTATAATATTTATAATTTCTGGAAAACCCAAACATGCATTTTTCTCAGTTGTAAATTTGCTTTGCTGTTTTAAGGCTATAAAACATATTCTGTATAACTTATTACATAATAAATGTAGCAGAGTATAAATGCCTTAGTTTATAGTGTATAGCACAATTTAAGTATCTACATTTCGTTCAAATTGTTACAAATGCAACAGCTTTCTCTGTTCCATCTTTAAAATACTGTACTAAATGTATATATTTTTGCCAGTTGGAAAAACAGGAAGCATTACAATAAACAAAAGCAAGTATTATTATTTGGGTAAAAAAAAAAACAGACTTCATTCCAGTCAACATTATCGAAAAAGATGAAACAAAAAAACACACCCTGCATCACTTTGAGGAAACAGTGGCAAGGTGGTACATACTACAAACAATTATCCCTCTTCAAACTGTTTGCAAGTCTTCGAAAGTATTTAGCCAAGCAGTATTAGTAATTACCCAATACAATAGCCATGTTTGTTTTTTTTTTTATAATAATTTTTATTACATTTTCCAGTTACATATACAACAGAAAACAGAAAAAACATAGAAAAAAGAAAAGAAGAAAGAACAAAAAAAAGACCCGACCATTTCAACAACTTTTTTCAAATTTCTATCGGACTTCCCCACATCTCCCGCCTAATGCATTCTTAGCAATAAAATTTATCAGCAAGTTATACCCTTGTTTCGTGTGTTTCTTTGTACTTTCAATTGCAATTTAAGTTTAAATCCCTTATTCTCCATTTACTCTAAAAATATAGCATATTATTATTTTTGCACGTTTAAACTTTGGTTCTTTCATAAATAT